GTATGTCATCTTTTGTTGATAGAAAACATACTCTAATTCCCAGTAACGAGGCAATAGCACCTCCTAATGAATGCCCAACAATGCGAACGCTGTAGCCATCACACTCACATCCATCACCAATTAATGAGGACAAGAAGCCAGTAGATCCTGACTCTGCATAATTATTTGTATAATAGCTTAGAGAAAGCTTGTATCGTGGCAATCACATATCACAAAGGTATAAAACCAACTGACAGCAAAGCTGGACTCTTACCTCCAAATTTGCGTTCTCCTTCTATTTGCATAAATAGATCTCTTGCAGCTTCTACTATTCCCGAATGTCCATAGTGTGTACGAGAAGAACCCATACCATGAATATGACTGACATAAAAAGAAAACATGAAACAGCAAAAAGGAGAATCATTACTACTGATGGGATGCAGAGTAGTGAGATCTCAACATTCATCAGAAGAACGAGTGAGCATACATGATATTAACTATGTGAAATGCAGATATTTTAGATTTACCCAATCAACAAATAATTAGTTAACTTGCGCAACCATAAGCATTTCATTATTAAATCCAAACTCACAAGCACAATTATTGTTTCCTATAAGAGAGAGATAGAGACCGACTTTGTTAGCCCGTCCAAGTCTTCAGCAGTTAGTGAACATGCACGACCTAAACCATCAGTGATGAGGTCTTCAGCCGTCTCAGTTCCTCGAACAGCAATCACAACACATCTAAGATAATGTAAGACTACAACGAAGTATGTTGCTTTACACTTCTCCTGCCAGAACAGAATAATTAAATGAATAGATGAGAAAGATTCTGATGCATTGATACGCAAGATATCAAACAACTTCAAGTAAACAGATTGTTTTCCTCAAGTGTTTTTTTTTCAATTTTTTTCTAACAAAAATCCATTTCCATCCATTGTGTCAGACCATTTTGGTCGTGGAACCATATATAATTGAGGCAAAACACTACTATGAATCCATTTGGTGTTAGAACATAAGGTTAAAGGGAGCAAACTTACCCTACATATTCTACCTCGTCGAAGAACATGAGCTGGAAAATTTATGAATTTAAGGAAAGCAGCTGCATGGCCTCGCCACCAATTATCACCATCAAGTTTAGGCCGCCTGAGAATAATTTCAAGGAAACGTTTTACATTAATATCATACGAATCTGTCTGCCTCAACATCAGACACATGGGGAAAAGTATGGAAACTGGAAAGAATAAACTTTAAAGAAACAAGTTGAGTTTCTTTAAACGAGCTAACCAGGTATAATATACCATTTACGGCTCCAAGGTGTTAAAATCCCTTGCCTACAGATCCATGTGCATAAAAATAAGGCAGGATTTCTCCCAACATCAAGCAGTGGCCCCTGCACAAAGCAACACAAATAGGTAAGAGATATCTACCATTTAAAGAAGATCTTTAGAGCCTGTGTCGTTCAAACGTACAGTATAAGCAGCTTCTGCAAATTTATGCAACGTAGCAGCCTCCTGAAGATGAAATGCTGGAGCTTCCATACAGTTCTCATATGACTCAGGAAACTGATTATTGTTCTGTAACAGAGCAAGGCCTGAATAGACAAAGATTAGATAAGGTTCACAGTCTAAGATTACAAAGCAAGAAAACTAGAGACAAGAGACCATAACAGAAAGTGCAAATCATAACATATCAATGTAAGCACTTATTAAGGAAAATTTTTCATCACACAGATAGTCGGGGATAGCATAAATCTTAACTCTTGTAATTTTTTTAAAAGGCAGACTGAAATGATTTTGCAAACTAAGCATCACCAATACCAGTCAGGTGTATTTAAGTTTCAGATCTTAACCTGCCAAAAATTCCAAATGGCCAGTGCCAGATGCACGATACGAAACAAGATCACCTAACAGTCTTGCAACTGAACACACTTCGTCTTCCTCGATAACACCCCTGAAGCAGACAGTCAATTTCTAAGAGTCTGAACAAGTAAACTTGCTATAAACAAGAAACAAGTTTCTAGAATCACGACAAAGGAGTAATCAGAATAAACCATGAAAAAAAAAACTTACATATATTCGCGACGTCCAAGACAGCACAAAACTTCGCGAATTCCATGGTCAAATACTTCCTGGTAGTGAGCTTTCCATGCATCATCTTGGGTTGCATAGAAAGACCGCCATTGCAAAATATCTGATCCCGTAAAGCATTGTGCCAACGCAACAAAGCAAACAGTGATCAAGAAGGCAACCTGCAGCGTTTGCTTCCACCCACGAGTGTCTGGAGATAACCCTGAGGCAATGAAGTAACTAAAGAGATTCTTAAGCAAGAAAAAGTGCATAGATAAAAGTACATAGCTAGATAGTTGAATTGCATATAAAGGCTTCAACGTAAACGCTGTCAGTATCCAACAAAAAGGGAAGATAGATATGCCAAGTTTGAACCCATCAAATAAATATACATCAAGATTCTAACTGCCCAAGTACTTCACTTTAGACAACCAAATGAATGTAAACTGTGTCTTAGTTTACCTAAAACGCAATCCCTTGGCATTCCATCATGGGAAACAAATTTGGCGACACGGAACATAAGGTAAGTTGCACCAATAAATTGCAATACAGTAATTACCATTGCAAACCGAGTCCACCAAAGCCAGGTCTTATACTTCAACTGCAAAATCCACAAACCAAAAGTAAAGTAAATGAACCACAAAGAACACTAACTGAGGAAATGCATAATCTCAGTTACACACTCATACATTTCTCATGACATTCTCTAAGATTAAGTCAACACCAATCCTTCAAAGACTTGGTTTTTCTACAAGAGTTCACAATTGAGACAGTGAAAATTGAAAAGAAAGACAAAAAAAAAAACCTTTCTTTGGTGGTTGTTTTGTGTAGGAGAATCCATAATGGTGGTAGCCATGAGTTCTTGTGTAGTACCGACCTTAACCATGACGGCGAGTTTAACACCGGCGGCAAAACAAACGGCGAAGAGGGGAAATAGTTGACCGGCGCTATCGCAATCAGAGTTAGAAACGAGAGTCAGAATACCACCGGAAACAATCACGGAGAAATTAGCAATGCCCAGAACCATAATCGTTCTCCGAACTCTCTTCAACCTCGAAATCCACATGATTGTTTCTTTGATTTTTTCCCTTTTTCTCCCTATGGACGCCGAGTGATTTTGTGTTCGTAGTCGGGAAATTAAGCGGGTTTTAGGTCAATGTCTCGCCGGCCACGAGAGCACGAAGAGAGACATCTCTCCGAGAGAAAAATCCGCCGCACTCGATCGCTCGACGATTTTTTAGAGATATGTTTCAGAAAACAATCTCATCTTTTTGCTGACACATTTGGAAACTATTGTCCGTACGAAATTAAAATATTAAAATTACACGGAAGAAACACTTTATTCAAAATTCCATTTTTCTGATTCTTTACTTTAACTAGTTTATTATTATTCCCACGTTACATAATGAAGATTGAGTTGGCCTAAGATTTGAGTTATGGTTGCAAGTATTTTGTTTAACGATAGGATAAACATTTTTAAGGGATAAACTATTTTTTGGATATATAAAACAAATTAGAATGTGAAACAGAGTAAAGTCTCTGTCATGTCCCAAAAAAGAAAAAGAAAAAAACCACAAGCATTTGTTTCTGTTTCTAAAAGAAAAAAAAAATTGTTTTGGAATTCAAGAGAAAGCTTTGATGTTGTGAAGAGCCATGAGATTGAGATTGGTATTGATATTTTCATCCAGAACCTCGTATAAATTGCTCAATAACGTGCAAAAAAAGATCATTTCAAAACAAAAGACTAAACAAACAACGTAAGCAAAGACAACTGAAATCCTTGATGTTCATAGTTCCAAATCATCTTATGTAGAGCCCAAAATCCTGTGCAAACTATATTTCAGGAAAAGTCTATCCATTTTCGAGAGAGGCAAATTTAACTACCACAAGAGACTTAAGGCAAGAGGAGCACAGGAGTTTGCTCTGTATACTCGACAGCATTAGAGGACAAGGGAAGTGAGGATTACTTTTACCATGAGATGAGAGGACACTGTATTATCCATCCAACAAAAGGAAACCAACTTCATTTAAATATATTATAAATTAAAAAGTGAATTTGCATTTTGATAACAAAAGAAAGAACTATAGCCAAATTAGCAAAGTAAGATTTGTTTTGCTTATCCCACATTCCAATGTGTCAAGTCTAGAAAATTTGTATCAATTAAATTATGTAAAGGTGGATTTTTAATTTAGTTAATTCTTAGTTCTAATTGGAGATTTACTTTTACGCTTTAATTAAAAATAATAAAAAAAGGTGTAAAACTCTTGCTTAGATAGAGTCTCTTGTTTCCATTCCCCATGTACAATCTAGTGACTTGATCGTAGATTTTTGGATTTGTAAGCAGTTGTAACTTCAAATCCTTGATTTTTTTTCTTCTGTCAAACAATCCTTGCTTAAAAGCTAATAGGATTCAAATTGTCAAGTATGTCTCAAATTTCATTTACTCCAATGTATTTTATGTTTTATTC